GGCGAAGGAGGAAGGGGCCTACCTCGCCAATACGCAAAGGCGTCGCGGATGAGCGGAATTAGAAATTTCATGTGTACCCATGAAGGTATGATCTAGATGAAAATAATGGATTCGAGCTAAAATCTTCACAGTTAAATAATATATCAGAAAAGTGACCAGCAATTATCCCTCTAATTTCCCCTCTTTGGCTCGACACATGTCCATGTGTGGTAGCAATATTTTCTAAACTTTTGTCATTTCCAAGTAAATAAAACCACGTAAAGTATTTTAGGCCTCCTTTGGTTTGGGGGAATTATAGGATAGTATACTTATAGGAACTTTTCCTTGAGAGCACTTTGGTTCATAGAAATGGATTCCTATTCCTATATAGGATTGATTCCTATTCTCCACATTCATAGGAAAATAAATATAAGCCTAGACTCAATGAAAAAAATTCCTATAATGTGAACCAAATGGCATCCCTCTTTCTGTTCCTACTCATAGGATTTGAGACACATGCCATCTCATTTTCTATAATTTTTTTTATTCCTATGATAATCTTATCCTGTGAACCAAAGAGGGCTTAAGAATGGAGAGTACCGTCTTTCCTGCACAATCACATACCACACCCTATCAGGGGACGGGGGAGTATCTTTTTTCCTGAATAATCACATACCCTATCAGGCGTTTAGTCATGAATCGCTGATATATATACATATAATATAGACTTCTTGTGAAGAAATGGAGGCAGACCATCCACTTGCCGCTAGCTTTGACTTCTCCTACTGAAAGAAGATCATCAGATTCTTCATCATTTCAGGTACAACAGATCATTTCGTCAATTTGGCTCCTTGCAGTACGCTCTATGATCCGAGCAGCTTTATATATGAAAAAATAGAACGAAAGATTGTGCTAAAATTTTATAATAAGTAAATAGGTACGAGAATCATTTTGATACTACACCCTTTATCTAAAAAGGAGAGACAATCATTATGATGCATTTGTCTTACATGAACCTTTTGATTCCTTTGGTAGAGTATTATTATATGTAGTATATACTGTATATGTGATTAAAAAGGAAAAAAAAAGTCAAGAGGACAGAGAAAAGGTTGGTACAATGCATAAAGAGATGGACCTTTTAATAATTTTACATATGCACACGTGATGGCACAAAGTATGCTCATTAAATATTTTAGTATATGTAGCAGACAGTTATGCGTGAGATCTTTCAAAGTACATATACAATTTAAACGGCTGTAGGTTTAACTATGAACACAATACCTTAATTTCTCGATTAAATACTCCCTCTGTTCCTAACTATAAGTCTTTGTAGAGATTTCACTATGAACCACATACGGATGTATATAGATGCATTTTAGATTGTAAATTAACTCATTTTGCTCCATATATAGTTCATAGTGAAATCTCTGCAAAGACTTAATATTTAGGAACGGAGGGAGTAGATGCCATAGTACTGGCTTACTAGTACTTCCAGTGACAGGGTCCATATAGTCGTGAACTCGTGATCACTTGATTTCTCATGGTTAAAAAATGATTCTCGTACAAATGAATTTGGCTTAAATGATTGTCCGTTAATTAACTTATGAAAATAATATATAATTGGAAAAAATGAACATACAAAGCAATGTGATTTATATTTAAATTAAAATTTACTATGCATTATGTATTTTGTTTAATTTGAATAGAGTTATGATATATGTAATAAAATAATTATCTATAGTTACCTCTAAATAGTGAAGTCATAAACAATTAGCTGTTGACAATAAAGGACAAAAATGCTTTCAAGCCTGAGGCAAATTATTGCATCATGTGTAGTGTACATTTCAAAGAAATAGAATCTGAAAAGAAAAACAGTGAACACATTAATCTATTTGTGACCACGAGAACTAAATTTCCTGTCCACCTAGCCTCTATTAGTTCGGTTTTCTTAATTGGTTCAGCATAAATCCGTCATGTGTGTGTGTGTGTGTGTGTGTGTGTGTGTGTGTGTGTGTGTGTGGAACAAAACCATCATGCTGATATGCGATAACGAAGAATAAGATCGAAATAATATACCATGCATATTACTTTACATGTGTTCGATTATTACAAAGAGAAGACCAAAGAGCTTACCTTTCCTCCTGACAAAAAGGAAGCCTTCATTGCTAAAGTCAGCAAGAAACAACACCAAGGAATAATTATTCAACATATGGAAAGGAACACAATGTAATAACTAAGATCGGTCATGCATCCATTTTGATTCACAACAAATATCATTTGCAAAGAAGAGCTACGAAATACATCAACTTTTTATTAACAGGAGATTTGTTCCATAAGTTCCAGTGTCAGCCTATTCATCCCTAAGTCTAGCATTTTTCCCCACGGTATGGAATACATCCAAATTAAGCAGAGAGGCAAAGTGTTGGATCATTTCAACACTTCTTCATGACTAAGGAGAGGTGTTGGATCATTTCATCTCATCTCGACAAGGACAATTCCTTGGCTAGCGATGGAAACCGAACAAAGCACCTTACAATATATTAATTACCTCTGTCCTAAAAAGCTTGTCTTGAATTTATCTAGATACGGATGTATCTAACTCAAAAACGCATCTAGATATATCCGTATCTAGACAAATCTAAGGCAAACTTTTTGAGACGGAGGGAGTATACACAATACATAGTGTAAGAATCGTAAATCATGCAAGAAGCAATGCATGTGTTACTTCAATTAATTATTAATTTGCACCAAAAATCACCATCAATCAAATTATAAACTCACATTTTGTGTCAAAGGAACTAACAATTAAGCAGCCTGCCAAATGCCAATAGAGTATCAAAAGCTGTTCCTCCATCTCAATTTCCATCCACATCACACAAAGACCACTCAGCACGCTCACACAGAAAGAGAGATACGTCAAGTACTAGCTAGTGCTGGTCGTACTTATCTCCGGCGCCGCCTAAGGAAGAGAAGAACCCAGCATGGTCGCCGTTCGCCGCCTTGTCGCCTTCCGCCGATGCCGAAGTCTCAGTCTCGAAGTCGTCAAACGGGTTGAAATTGAAATCTCCCATGCCGTGGCCGTGGTGGCCACCGTACTGATCAGCAGAACCTGATCCTCTGGCCGTCGTAACATCAGCGGGGGTACTTGGCATAGCGTTGCTCCTCGCCAACAGCGTGAGCGCGTGCATGAGAGAGTTGGCTCCGCCGCCGGTGGTGGTGCAAGTGCCGATGGAGGACAGCAGTGCAGGGTTTTGCTGCGGGTACTTGAGAGGGCACGGGCGTACCAGGAAGGGGGAGCCGTAGGCGGAGGCGCCACCGAGGAGCCGCGGGCGGACGAACGGGGACAGCCCGACGGCAAATGGTGGCGCCGGGAAGCCGGTGAACTCCTGTACCATGGCGCGGAAGTTGGAGGTGTCGGTGGTGAGCACGGTGGTGGGTGGGCGGCGGGAGGCTCTGGGGCGCTTCTTGGGCGGCTTTGACGGGGCCGCAGGGTGAGGTGGAGTCGCTGTTGCCCGCGTGGGGGAGGATGTGGACAAGAAGCCTTGAAAGGTGGAGTCGTGGTCGAAGTATAGGCTAGCGGGGGATGGGGATGAGGGGAGGAAGAGGCCGTGGGGGTCGACGGAGGAGAATTCTTGTTCGGCCCCAGTGCCCGGGAGCGAGGGAGAGGACGGGAGGCTGCCACTGGTGGTGGACGCCATGGATTGGTGGATGGCTCGACCTCGATGGAAGAAGATGTGCACGTACGGGATGGACTGGTAGATAGATAGGGTTTGGTGTGGAATTTGGGGAGATCTTGATGTGGGTGGATTACCGATGAACAAGCTAGCTCGGAGGGGAAAAGGTTGACGACGACAGGAGAATAGATATGGGAGTGGTGGATGTGAGGAGGAGGAGCTGCCAACTTTGTTTTCTCTTTCCATTTTTTGGCATGTCTATTTTTTTTTTGCATTTTTAGATACACGGTACAAAATGAGGACCTTCGTTACATACACGCTCCTACACTCACATCTATGAAAGCACAACATACCTTACAAGAACCTCCGAGAAATGGAGCTGAAAGATCCTAAGAGCGACCAAAGCCACCACATTTAATTGATAGCACTGGAAACTGCAGATTAGATTCGACGAAATATAAGCACCATGCTAAGTCAAACCCGACAAACAGCCTAACACTAGGCAAAGAAAAACTATGGGAAAAACTGCTAACCATATTGTTTGTTTTCTTTTCTTTGCTTGGTTTTGTTCTTCTATTTCCTTTTTCTTTTCTTTTCTTTCTTTCCTTTTTTCTTTCTTTCATTTCTGTTCTTTGCTTTTGCTTCTTCTCTTTTGAACATGCGAGGAAAGAAGAGGAGTCCCAACCACCGGAGGCCGAGACTCAGGCACCAACCTGGAGCTTAGTGCTTTATTAATTCCAAAATATTCAAACAAAGTTAGAAATCATGAAACCTGGCATTGGTGTCATGATATGCCATCTAGAGGCCGTTGGCTTTCAAATTTTTTTCTACACTCAACACACGGTTACATGTTTCATGTTAAAATTTTGGCATTTTTCATGGTCAGTTCACTATATTTAAGTCGTTAATTAAGTGCATTTCTAGGTATTTAATTGATATAATTAAAATTCAAACTATAGTTAAATTAAATAGTCGCCAACAATAGGTTGACAAATCCTACTTTTGTCCTTGAATTGTGTCTATGTTTATGCCTTGTGCAAGTAAAGGATAGGACCCCCATACACCAGGGGGCCAAGATTTGATCACCAACATGGAGGTTGTTGCCATTTTTCATTCCAGAAAATGCAAAAAAGGCAGGAAATCACGAGACTTGGCATTGTGTCATGATATGACCCTTGGAAGATGTGGTAAAACTTTGAGAATACTCCGCAAAAGTTTGCATGCATACTTCTTACAAATCAGACCATCTTCGAGGAAGAAACTAGGTTTCAAGAAGGAATCAAGCAGGTTTGCACGTAAAGTGGCCCTTGGTTAATCAGTCGCCCTTGCAACTTTATTTGCATTCAATATACACCACTATACTACCGAAATTTGGCATGTTTCAGGGCCTGTTAGTTATTTAATCCATTAAGTGAATTTAGTCATTTAGTATATATATATATATATATATATATATATTATTCAAAGTTTAACTGCAGGTACATGAAATAGTTGCAAGAAATGGGCTGAAAAATCCTACTTGTGACCTTCGATCTATGTTTAGGTCTTGTGCATGAAAAGAATATGTCTTGCATACACCGGGGAATGAAAACCCAGTCATCGAGATGGAGGTTATTGCCATTTTTATTAAAAATGAATGTATGGCCCGCTAGGCCTCGTTCATTTGCTACCGTACCGGAGAGAACATGCTTGTGTCTGCACGCG